ACTTCTTTGTTTTTGTTGGTATGGGTGGAGGATGTTTTTCTGCACCCCGTAAAGGTGTCAATAAGAACCAATAGATATTTTTACCTAGAGAATTTGGGCATTTGTGAGAAGTTAAACCACCAGTCCTCCCCTCAGTATTTTACCAATGCTGAAGAGGTGGTGGTAAGAGAGGAGGCCTAGGGTTTTTGCTTGGTTTATTGGCTCATTAACAGCCCACCAAGCACAGCTTTGAATTACTTCTCTTATTGTTCTGTTTAAGATAGTGTTTACTAATGATGTTAAAACATCTCTTTCTATGTGGGAAGCCTCATTGTAAATCCCTTAACTATTTTCCACTGCATTGAACCAAGAATAAGTAGCTCTACTTGTTTAATAAACCAACCATCTATTATTTTTCTTTTTAAACCTTGTTGCAATGCCTATTGTTTCTCTCCTTCAGAGTACTCTGGATTTATAGAAATATTCTCTGGATTAGATAAAAAATTATATAACTGACTGAGATTTGAGGGAACTAGCTACCACATCAGCTTTTTGTTTTTTGCTTCACTTCAGTTTTCCTTTTTGATTTCCCCGAAATGCATAATTGCTATTTCTTTGGGGGCCTGCACTGCTTCAAATAGTTTTAGATTTTTTTCTTATGCTTTATTGGACTTTTTTTAGCTGTTAGATATCTCTGCTTTTTCCATATTGAAGTATGAACATATTAGAAAACATATTAGAATCAGGATTGGGAGGAACAATTAATCTTGCTTTTTGAGATAAAACTCTTCCTTGGCAAGTCTTCCTAACTCTCCTGGTCAGACTAATGACAATATATGCAACTTTTTGAGCCCCTTCATGAACTAGACTACCACCATTTGTAAGCCAAGATTTTTCTGGATTACCCAGAGGGGTTATTTTTTAAATCAGGCCTCATATAATACACTTATTTAATAACCTCTGTAAAACTAGAATCAGATTTCTACATAAGGCAAGTTACTGAAACAGTTTTCTCTCCACTTTCATCTTTAATTTGCTTTTGCTAAAGTTGACTAGTTATTTTGCATTAAAACAGCAATATTGGAGACTTTTCTATTTGGGTTACCCTGTTATTTGTTGAGCACTCCTGGAGATTTACTAAGAACTACAAATGATTCTCATATTAATAGTAAAATTAATATTTTTAATGTCATCACGTAAGGCTTATCCAGGGTTGACCAAGTAAAGATGTGAAAATCAGGTCAGCACAGTGAACTGGAGGTGTTCTTAGACCTCTAATCTTCTGTAGTGGTGTTCTGCAAATAGGAAACTATCTCATCCTTTTCTAGGACTGAGAGAGATCTGGGTTTCCAGAGCTTTTTTTTTATTTTGAGATTAGAGCCCCAGTAGTGGTTGCAATTCTGGACATTCTTTGCTTTCCATAGCAGGGATGTTTCCAGTTCTTCCTTGAGTGACCTTTAGGTTCTGACTGAAGTTGGCTGGGGATGAATCATAGTAACATAATAGTATTTGAACTTGCTTTTGTTGGTTAAACCCATCCCTTTGGCCTATATTTCCTTTAAAAAGTTCCTTGGGGTCCTGTAACTGGCTATTGAGATTCCCTATTTGTATTAGTGACAATGGGCTGGAGCGATAGCACAGTGGTAGGGCATTTACCTTGCACACAGCCAGCCTGGCCGAGCTGGATTCGATTCCTCCAACCCTCTCAGAGAGCCCGGCAAGCTACTGAGAGAGTATCTCGCCAGCACGGCAAAGACTGGCAAGCTACCCCTGATGTATTCAATATGTCAAAAACAGTAACAAGTCTCACGATGGAGACGTTACTGGGCCCGCTCGAACAACAGGAGAACCGTGACCATGATTAATGACAATGAATGACTACTACAGAGAGGAAAGAGTTCCTTTCTGAATTTACGCAAATACCTTTCTGTGAAGCATAAAAAGACATGCTGAGAGAAAATAGCAAATTTTCACTTTACTCACAGTGAAATGCAATTGACCTGTTTTTTGTGGGTTGTATGTCAAAAAGAAGAGTGTTTTAATATGTAGAGGTCCAACATATAGTTGTATACAATAATATTGTGTTTGTTTAAGCTATTTAGTCCCATGTTGAAAACCTTGATTTTTTGGTAACTTTTCTTTCACTGTGACAGCTCTGTAAAAGACTTTATTAAAAACTTTAAAGTCTTGCTAAAGACTTTCCTGAAAATCTCTCTGAAAACAAGGTGTCAGAACAATTATGTAAATAGGAAAAAACTCAAAGTTATTCATAACTATAAATTTTGTTACCCATAATGCATTTTACAAGAAAGTTTTCTTCACATTGTGAATTAATCAAATGCACTAGTTCTTAGTCGTTTCATAATTAGAATTCTAATAAAATTAATTGTTTTTTTCTGGTAACATATATAAATCTTTAAAATCTTTTAATTTCTGTGTTTTCTTAGAAATCAAGGGCATCTGTTTTTATTACTCAGAATACATATTTATTTTTTCTTCAAGTCCAATCATATTATCTTTCTCCATTTTCCTTTTTTTAAATAAAAAGTTTTTCCACCTCTTTGACTTCCAAATTTCTCAATTTTTCTCTATTTCTTTATATCCATGTAATTCATATAATTCTCTCCCTTCATCTCTTTCTCTCTCTCTCTCCCTCTATCCCTCTCTCTCTGCACATTCTCTCCTCTCTTTATTTTCATATCAGTCATAGAGTCCCAAGTGGGCACACATTCTAACCAGGGGTTCTAGCTATAAAAGATGCCTGCAGCTTCTTAAGAATTTAATTTCTCCCAAGAACTTTCAGGGTGGTCCTGGTGATCCCTTGAACTTCAAGGTCTAAACATGGCCTTTCCTTGTTTCCTTGGCCAAAATGAACTGGGAGAGTTCCCCAGGCTCCCTGAGCACTGTTTGGGAGGATTTCTGCTGCAAAGTAAGAATTTTATGTTTGCAATGTCTTTGAGATGTGTATTCACCTTCTTTTTGGGTCACACCTGTCTGATAGGGGTTACTCCCTAGCTTTGATCTCAGGAATTACTCCTGGTAGTGCACAGGGGACCATTTGGGATGCTGGAAATTGAACTCGGGTTGCCGCGTGTTACAAACGCCCTACCCACTGTGCTATCGCTCCAGCCCCATCAGGCTCACCTTCTATGGCCTGTCTAATAATTATTTTAATGCTTTTAGTTTAATGTTTTATTTTAATGTTTTTTTAACTTTTATTTTACTTTAATGTCTTTCTCCCGCACTCAGGAATTTGTGAGAAAACTTAGTTCATGCAAGAAAAATGAGGGGGAGATTTAGATAGTATTATAATAACCACATTTTTTTGCTTCATTACACTTTTCTTGTACAAATAAGAGCTATCTCAGTATTGGGTTTCACAGTCACAAGATTGTCCTTTCACTGAGGGACTGTGTTAACTTGACTTTTTCTTTAAAGGTTCTGTTTCCCATCCTGGACCTTCATTTCATCATAGAATATATCCCATGCAATAAGTATTGAGCCTAATTAGTAATTCTCCTTTCCTCTTCCATGTCAATGGCCTTGGAGAGTGTGTCTGTCTGTCTCATGATTGTTGACTGTTTAGTCACAAGTAACAAGTTCCTTTTGCCCCATGATGTTTTCATTGTGAATGAAAAGTGGATGTAGTGTTTTAGGCAACGTCATGGTAGAATACTTACCAGAATACTTATCATTATGTAGGAGTTATAGTAGAATGTCTCATCTGGGCTTCATCAAACATTTCTCCAGACAGTATAGATCTGAAGCCAGGCACTCAGGAATTACTTCTGCTGGTGCTTGATGTATTCTTCCCCTGCAATCTCATTGTGTCATTAGGCCGAATCTCCAGTCAAAACCACTGAGCTTATTTGCCCTTTATGTTGCATCTTTAAACCACAGACGATCTCTCTTCTATGCACAATAGGACTTCTTCCCTCAAATCTATTTTTGTGTGTGTTATTAACTTGTCTGCAAAATGTAACCGTTTTTGGGTTCTAGTTTAGCTTTCTGCAGTATTTTGTACATTGGTATTCAAAGGCATAGGGCTGTTTTCTCCAGCAAAAAAAAAACTTGAAAAGGAGTGATGGATCCAGTATGGGTCCCGGAGATAGTCCACTTGCCTTGTTTGCATGTGTCCTGGGTTCAATACCCTGCACCCATTTTGTTCCAGTTCAACCAAAAGTGGTTCCTGAGTGCAGAACCAGGGATAAGGCCTACACAGTGCCATGTGTGACTCCCCCTTCCTCCACATACACACACACACACACACACACACACAAAATTAAAAAGCTTGCCATAAAGAGGGATGTGAAGTGCGATTTAGGACAGGGGATGAACCACTATGACAATAATAGTTGGAAGTGATCACTCTGGACAAAAATTGAGTACTGAAAAGATATGCATGATGCCCTTTCAGTAATAGTATTGCAAATCACAGTTCATAAAAGGAAAAGAAAGAAAGAAAGAAAGAAAGAAAGAAAGAAAGAAAGAAAGAAAGAAAGAAAGAAAGAAGAAGTTTCTGCCATAGAATCTGGATGATGGGGAAGGGCAGGGAAGTGTGTTTGGGGAAAACTGGAAACTGGGGGCAATGGTGGCCAGATGGTGTTGGGACATTGTATGACTGAAACTCAATTATGAACAGTCTGGTAACTGTATATATCACAGTGATTCAATTGAAAGAATTATTTTTAAAAATCCAATACATTTAAGTAGTGAAAGTTTCTCTAAGAAAAGCAAGGTATTCCATGTATTTCATGTCTATGTACTGATATTTTATATATATATGGAAAACTTTGACTTGGAATATCAGTTTAACTGGGGAGATATTCTGATATTCAAGACTTCTGATATTCTTGTTGCTGTTTTAAAATATCCTTAAGTGATTGCCGAGTGTACAGGATAACAAGGTAATAGTATCTAATTACTGCCTTTTCCTTGTGGAGACACATATGCTTTGAATGACCTTTACACCTACCACTGTGATTGTCATCTCTGATGAATCTTTTCTCTTTTGCTTTCAGCTTGGGGACCTGCTTCACAAGCTACAGTTCGTCATGACATATGTGGCTCCTTGGCAGATGGCTTGGGGTTCTTCATTTCACGTGTTTGCTCAGCTTTTTGCAATCCCTCGTATCCTTTTTGCTTCTATTTTCATCACCCGAAAGCTGAGATTCACATTTTACAGATGCAAGCATTTTGTTGAACCCTGGCAATAAAAAAATATGTTAAGGTCTTCAAGATTACATTTTAATGGGGATATGGGAGGCATTGTGAATTCTCCTTAGGCTACTTAGTTAGCCTTAAAAGATATTTCTTAATTTTGAACTCTTCATGCTTCTTAATGCATAGTCAGGAGTTATTTTAGTTTTTCCGATTCTTTCATTTCCTATGCTCAGATCTTCATTAAGATATCCCTTGCTGGAAATTTACTGCTTAAATAATTATGTTGATTTGTGCAAAATAGTGTAAATGGATTTGCTATTATTAAGCATTATAGATGTACTTTGATTGTCATGCATTTAGCATGATATTCAGAAATCAATAATAAAATACATGCTTTGAAAAGTAAATATTTTTGAAGCCTGAAATATAATTGATGCTTTTGTTTTACAGTCACTGTTAGCCAAAAATCTTAGCTTTATTATTTTTAGCTTTATTTGTATTTTTGGCATTATTTTTTGTTTTCTCCAAAGTGATAGCTAGTTTCAATTTTAAAACAAATTTGAGCTCCTCCTTCTAAAAGATCAGTTTGTCTCTGCTAAATTACACGTGATGGGGGAGAAATGGAGACTATTTTTAAATAACTATTTAAATAACTATTTTTAAATATTTTTAAATAACTCCTGAAGGGATAACTGAGAAGTCTTCTTGACTCAGATATGTCTTCAGAGGCAGTCTTTCCCACTAAATCTATGCTTTCTAAATTTGTGCTTTCCAAAAAGCAGTGCAGGTACTTTTCATCCGAATTCTTGAAAGAGAGTATTTAAACTGGTGGATTTCAAACACATACTTTGTAATGATTACAATTTCAGAGGATATATCCTGGAACCACCATTAGGTTTCCTGGTAATTTTTATCTCACTGACATATGGACTAAGCCTTAAGCTCTGGCATTCCATTATATTAGCTGATTTTAGGGACTACTCAGAAGATTCACAAGGGTATTATAGCTGGTATGTAATATCTCCTGCAAAAATAAAAACAACTTTAGCATCTATGCACATTTCACAAAGTGAATGTTAAATCTTAACTACATTTGTAATGGGTGGACTCATCTTTTTAAGAAATTGAACACATTTGAAATGTAGGTTTACTGGGCCTTTGATACATAGTTCCCTCTTAGAATACTCAAAGGCACTCCATACATTGTTACTAAAATTGTTCCTAGTACTTCCTTCCTTCTGTTAAAAGGCAGTGCTGTCAACGTCAACACTGAGGCTGTGTCACAAGACTTTTATTTAGACTCATTCAAACCATTTAAAAGAAATCTCTTGTATATGAACTTCATGTGCAGGAATGTAATTAATTATACTTGGGAAAATCATTAAGTGACTATATATTCCCTATATTTTAAAATACTTTGCTCCCTACTCATTTTCTTAAAAATTATTTTAAGCTTACCAAGAATTGGCCCATAATGCATATTGTTTTATGTTCCTATTCTTAGATATGTATTGATATTTCTAGAGTGTTTCAAGGTTACTTGGCAGAACAAGCTAAGTGGGAAATTACAATAGCAAGCAAGCCAGTACCACCTTTCTCCTTTAACTGTAATTATTTCTATAATGTGAGTAATTTTAGTTTGTCTAAAAAACAGTCTTTAAAAACATATATAGCGAGTTAAATTGTTAAAGTGATTTTATTTTTTATGAGTCTCCATTTTAAAGCCTTATTAGTCAATGAAAATTATTACTGTGATACAAATTTGTGAGGCATTCAATAGAAATTTAAGAGTTAAAGTTATGATTCCCAATATTATCCTAACTTTGTTCTAACATGGCATTTGTTGTGGCTATTTAAGCCTTGTTAGGTGAGTTCAATACTACTAATTACTTCTTATAGTTCCGTAGCTGAGTTAAGATCATTTTGGGAGCCATAACTTTCAATTACCTGACCTTTATGTGTGTTGAGGGTGACACACAAGAGTATCATTGCTGGTATCTAATATCTCCTGTAAGAATAAAAACAGCTTTAGCATCTATCCACATTTCACAGAGTGAGTGTTAAATCTTAACTATATTTGTGATGGGTGAACTCATCCTCTTAAGAAATTGAACACATTTGATGTGTAGGTTTTATTGGGCCTTTGGTACATATTTCTATCTTAGAATACTCAAAGGCACTCCATGAATTGTTTCTAAAACTGTCCCTATTACTTCCTTTCTTCTGTTAAAAGGCAGAGTTGTCAATGTGAACAGTGAGGTTGTGTCACAATTTAGAGAGCTTTAGAACCCTCCTCTCCATTATCCAAAGACACCCTCTCATTCTTGATCAGTTGCAAAGATAGATAATTTGCTACGAGAAGGCCAGCATAATACCCTTCAGAACACAGTGAGATAAACAGCTTAGGCAACTTGGTGTGTGTGTGTGTGTGTGTGTGTGTGTGTGTGTGTGTGTGTGTGTGTGTCTGTGTGTGTATCAGGTTCCTAAATCCCAGCTCAGTTCTGAACTAATTTTGAAATGTTAATTATTTTACTACTCTATTAAGAAGCTGTGATTCCATCCTGCCATTGAAAAGGGACTAATTTGTTTCATTTTGGAATTGAATTAGTTTTCAGGCCAGTGGGGCACTGTTTAGTAAATTGCTTTTTCCAGTACTGGCATGTTTTCTCCCTTGATACTCTTAGTTTCTAAGCTTGTAATCTCTAGGGAAAGATACATACAGGGATCATGCAAAACCACTGTCTTCTAGTAATTAGGCAAATTTAGCCAGATTATCTGTTAAACATATATATGTAGGGCTGCTTTCTTTTTGAGTGGCTTTGAGCTTCTTATGTTATTTTTCAACTTTACATATTGGTATCAGTCTTATAATTTTAAATACAAAAAATATACCTTAAACTAGTAAAAAAATCACCATATACCTTTCAGACTAATCTCTTAGCTTTGGTGAAAGATAGAGGTTTGCAGGAATCTATTCTGAGAAGTTTCTAAACACCACCTAGTAAACAGCATCTCCAGACTTTTATAATTGCCTGGAAATGATCTTTAAATTTTTTGTATAATACAATTGATATGTTATACGAAATACATAATAAAATCTTTGAGGTCATCTGTTAAGTTTCAGTTTCATTTTTTTCCTCCCATACTGAATTTTGTTTATAGGCTAGCACACCATCTTCACATAACTTCTTAGATTCTGAAAACTGTTTGTGGGAATGCAATCATAATTGGAGAAACGTTTAGAATAAAAAACAAGGGCAATCCTAACTCCTCTTATGCTCTGTCTAGACTTCTAGACTTGACTCTGCTTAACTTTGCTCCAATTCCCTGTCCTCTGCACAGAATGCCCTCTCACTGTACAGAATGAACACACCAATTCTCCCTTCCTCACAAGAAAGTTTCCCTCTGACCCCTCACTCTCTTTTCCAATGTGTCTTTCTACTTTTACTCAATCACATCTCCCATTCAGTTTCCTTTCTTTTGGTGACATGGGCATTACTAATTTGGAATCTTAAGTGACTCAGGTCTCTAGGTATTTTTAGGTTTCAGAGAGGAAATTAACAAAACAAAAAAATTGATTTAAGTTCTACCATACTAGAGATTTTTTTAACCATTCATCCTCTTTATTGTTTTTATAAAGAGAGACCAGAAGTTACAGGGTAAGACTTGGCCTAACTATTAGGAACATAAACAGAAGTAAAAATGGGTCTAGGTATACGCAATATGAATCATTGAATATGGGAAGGACAAAGATAGGAAGGACATGAGCATGTGCTGATGATAGTAGGGGGTTTGGTCTGTAACAAAGGTCTTTTTGATAAACAATTCAACGTCAGAATAGTTTATTATTGAAAGATGTGTATTCTTTTTCTAGAAAACATTTAAAAATAAATACCGGGGCTGGAGCAATAGCACAGCGGGTAGGGGGTTTGCCTTGCACGTGGCCGACCGGGGTTCGATTCCCAGCATCCCGTATGGTCCCCAGGGTACCGCCAGGAGTTAATTCTGAGTGCATGAACCAGGAGCAACCCCTGTGCAAAGCCGGGTGTGACCCAAAAAGCAAAAAAAAAGAAAAAGAAAAAGAAATAAATACCAAAATTATAATAGTTATACCTAAAGCAAAACTTTGAACTTTAATCTACGAAAATGTATAGGTAGTACCCCCTATGGACAGAACCAGGCTCAGCTCTATTTTATATTCCTTTCTGTATTTACACACACACACATATATGGTTTTGACCCCATCATATATGACTAAAACCATGTCACTGATAATATGTGAAATATGCTTGAAAGCCTGAGTTCCTTCTCTGCTCTGACAGAAATGAGAAAGGAATGTTGTATCTCTGCCAACTATTTCTTTTTACCTTGCTTCTGATAGATTTTGAACAAAGAAGAGCTAAAGAAATAAGACCATTTTTTAGCATTGAGAAAGAGACATGTACTCATTAAGACAGAGAGATGTCATTTTAGATTTGGATCACAGAAATGCTCATTTCTACTGGAATGTAAAGGTTTCACTTATGATACAAACCCAAAGCAAATAATCACAATTTGAATTTATTGGAGAGAATCAGCATTACAACAATATAAGCATACAAATAAATTAAGTGTGCAGTAAAAAAGAGGAATGATAACATCATTTGACAAATCAGGAGACTATCACATGTATGGGTGTGGCTTCCATCCAGAGAGTTCATGGTGTCACTCCTTTCTCAGGGTAAGAAAGCCACGTCTTAGGGACATATTTTGGCATCTTCTACTATGGGATGACAGATACAAAGTCAGTAACACTTCAAATTGGCTTAATTCAATACCAAGATTTAAACTATATTTCACAGGAATATTATCAGAACTGCTTATTGATTTTTAACTTAGACAAGGTCTTTTGACACAGCCAGGTTTCTAACTTTTGTCTTTATCTTTCACAAGTTTGTTTATCATTTCTTCTTAAGTGAACATCTGTTTTTTTCAAAATTGACATATTAATTTTCTCAATTACCTCTATTACCTCCACTTTCTATAGTCAGCATCATAATATTATTAACACATACACCATCTTAATCAATCAAGATCATTATGGCAACATTAAGAACAAGGAAAAGAAATCAAATAAGAACTCTATTTCAAATGCACTATTTCCAGTTCTCACTCCACAAGAGAACTAACAGTGTGCATATATGTAAGACCTAGGTGGTCTGAGCCCCATTGATGTCATGTCTCATCCTCAATTCTCTCTTGCTTTTCCAACCACAAATGAGCCCTCAATAACATAGGGGTAATTGATAATTGGAAAGTTCTCCAGTGATTCAGTGGAACAAAGAAGGGATCAATCTTTTGACACCTTCCCCACATTACATTTCTGAAGACCTGATTTTGAAATGAGAGAGACCTAAATATAACAGAAACTAATCAAGGGTGCTTAAGAGGTGTCTTGTTCCACAAGTGTGTTTTCAGTTTATGAACTAGATATTACTTGAATTGCATTATCCATGCAATTTGAATAGGTATTCGAATAGGTATTTTTGGATAGTGGGATAAAGCATCCTTAGTAAACAGATGCTACCTTCCTAATTAATGTCATTTATTTGTTTTTAATTGTAATCATTTATACATCTAGTTATAATATTAGTAAATTCACCACAGTATGTTTTCCGCAGCTAATGAGGAAAAAGAGAAAAGAAAAAGTTTCCTTTTAACCTTAAACATTAAATATTTCCCATGAAGCATACTGAGACTGCTGGGATTTTTATGAGAAGCTTTTGGTTTTCTTGGTGGTAAATTGAGACCTAGCAGGATACTACTGAAAGTACATTTCCAAATATGTGTGATGTACATAGAGAGATAAAAATATATGCTTTTTTTAGGTAAGAAAATACCACTAATGTTTTTTAAGTCATCTGAGTAAATTTAGAGCTCTAATTGGCTCTATTCAAGTATTCATGAACTGGGAAGTCTTCCATCTAGCAATTAGAAAGGCACTGAGAGAAGTTGTGCAAATATGTAGTTTTTTAATCAAAACAAGAATAGGACAAGGTTATTAGCAAAAAGAAAAGAAAACTATTTCAGACAATACTATTTCTTTCTTAAGGAATCATTGTGTGAGAAACACTTATATAGGAACTCCAGATTAATTACTTTAAATTTTCACTCCTGTGAAAATTTTGTGTCAGGTCCTGAGTTAGTTCTTCTGGGACCATTACATGCCCGTCACCCACCCCACCAGAGTCACTTGATAGAATCTTTCAGCACAAGCCTTGCAACAAAAACAAGTATTTCCACTTTTGAGAGAAGTAAGAATTCCAGTTGGTTAGGTATTGATTATTGGTCGAACTTGGCATGAAGTGACCTCATTTAGCTCCATACATCCCTTCTTTCTTTTCCTTCCTTTCTTTTCTCTCTTTCTTTCTCTTCTATCTTTCTTCATAAACTAGTAAAATGTGAATATTTGGAAAATACCAATTAAATTTCGTTGGCCTTAACTCAAAATTCTCAGATTCTGCAATGCTCTTCTTCCAGATGATTGCCACTTCAATCTTTTCTACTCCATTGAGCCCATTTCTTGGGAGTGTCATATTCATTACATCATATGTCAGGCCTGTGAAGTTCTGGGAGAAAAACTACAAGTAAGATTTTACAATTGATGATAACTTCTTTTTGCTAATTTTTTTTCTTAAGGAATCCCCTTGTCTCTGAGAAGTTTTCTGCTTCTCCCTACTGGGAGGCAATCTAAGCTCATGGACTCACCATGGTGGCCTTGAGGTCATGGACAAAGCAAGGCTGACCTCAAGTATGCAATTAGGTTTCACTCTTTGTTCAGAAAAAATGAGTTATCACTGACAATATTTTGGTCCCAAAAAAGGCATGCAACTATTGTACTATCATTTGATGAGATGCCATTCTCCTCAAAGGAACATGTGACCTCTCTCTGTGGTGTCCCTTCTGCCAGCATTTTAATTACTCATGTCATGCACAAGTGTACATGCATCACAGCTCAAAAGAAAATAAACTACAGTTTCTCTGAACACCATAAGTCGATAGAAAATGATTTATGTCCCTTTTGTTAACTATGTGGACTGTTTGGTAGTGAGTTTCCTCAAGCAATGATGAAGTGGGGCAGCCATTTTTAAGAGAAGGTTAAAAAAAAGAGGAGTGATGGTTTACTAAGTGCTTTTCAAGAACTCTCAGTGATTTTCAGTGGTGAGATAGTGGAAGCTTGTAAGAAAAACAAGAAGAGAAGAAAAGCTTGTTGAGCAGGTCTATCTGCCTGGAGCAGAGGAGATCTCCTTTGTCTGGGGCTGGAGCGATAGCACAGTGGGTAGGGTGTTTGCTTTGCACACAGTCTACCGGGGTTCGATTTCTCCGCCCCTCTCAGAGACCCTGGCAAGCTATGGAGAGTATCTTGCTGGCACGGCAAAGTCTGGCAAGCTACCCGTGACGTATTCGATATGCCAAAAGCAGTAACAACAAGTCTCATGATTTGTTATGAGACTTTACTGAGGCCCAGAGGAGCAAATCGATGAACGTGAGGACACTGCTACAGTGCTACCCTAATTTACTTAGCCGTATCTTTACTGTTCCATATAAACCTTCATACACCCTCTGTAAAGTATCTTAATAGGCACCACTCTGGCACTTACCACTCAAACTTAGGAGCCAATAAACCAAACCAAGTCAGCTAATGGCAAATCAGTGCTGGGAAAATACAAAGAGGTCTTGTTCCTGATAAATTCTTATATGATAAGTGAAGTGGGTATTTTACAAGTGAACTTATATTGTACATACAAAATGAGAGCCTGACTTCATATTTGCTTAAAGAGATATCAAACTTATCTACAGAGACCAAGAATAAAAGAACGCTATCATCACTTATTTGCCTTTGGATTTTTATCTTTAGGAGAAAGATTACAGTTGGGGGTATATTTCTGGAGCTCTGGGGGGAGAAAAATCACACTTCTGGAAGATACAAATGCTTGTAAGTGGAGTGACTGAATAAAAATGGAAAGTGCAAGAAATTCAAATTTGATTGACACTAGCATTGAAGATTCCTAGACTTCTTTGGTCTACAGCGATCTTTTCAGAAAAAAAAAAATCAGTGCTTCCTGGAACTCTATCTTTTTTAATCAGGCAAAGAGAAAGCACCCAATTGTGTTGCAATGACCTCTTCTTCTATCTTTCAGCATCCTCTCTTTGGAAAAGGGAGTACAGTTAAAAATTTTATCTTTGTCTTTGATTCTTATGTAAATTGGGAAATCCTTCTAGCACAGGAGTATTTGAGCTTAAAAAAAGTGTGTGTGTGTGTGTGGGGGGGGGGTGTGATTAAGTGTTCCCAATAAAAAGGACACAGGAGAGAGCTTTGTTGTGAGGTTTAATTGCAGAGATGCATGTAACACATGTGCAGAGTTTTGTTTTATGGTATTTAGCCTCTTTGCTTCCAAAAGTCAGAGTCTTTCTGAGTCTAAACCATGGGTTACTTCAAAGTATGGTGTTTCATATCAAAATTTATGTGTCTTTATTCCATCTCACACAGAATTGATTCTCTTTTAGTCCCTTCATTTTCTCAACTGGGGACATTGTTAGATGTGGCTAGTTTGTCCTTGGATTACAAAGGAAATGGGAAAGGACATTCAGATTCTATTTAGTCTCTCTGAAAAAGCCAAGCCAAGTTGAAGAAAATGTTGTCTTAGGAGGAGGGAAATCCTGATACAAAATCCCGTTAAAGTTGTAAAGGCATCAGAATAGAGTCCAGGTGACTCATCTGCTGAAAAAAAAGATCAGTGATCTTCAGTTCTAAATAAAAAGTATCATTAACAATTTTTGACACTTTAATATCTTCCATAAAATTCAAAATACCATAGCATAAGGAAACATATTTACCTGAGAGAAAATTAAACTTTCATGATTGGTTCATGTCTATTATATTCTCCATATTTGTGTTGGAGCATTTAATCATTCAGGGCAAGCTAGACTTTGACTAATAAGGATAATACATCAACTCTTTGTTCTGTGTCCCTGGTCCCACTTCAGTCAGCAAGAAGATACCAGTGCAACTTAATCCTCAGTCTTTCTATATTTTCTATTTTCTATATTATCTTCTATGTTCAGCTTTTAGTTAAGTAATGTCCATACATATTTGGTTCCTGCAGTGTTCCTGTTCCATGTAAGTTGCCAAAATGGCAAAATGCAATCAGTGAAGGACATGTGTAGACCTGGTAACATCACCCCCACAGCCAACATGATGTGTGATGGTGCCTTCTGGAACTGTGTTTATTTTGATGCCAGTCACAGAGCCTGGTTTCTAGTCTTTGAGCATCAAGCTGCATTTATAGAGAAAAAAGACCTCTAACGTGTCTCTCTTTCACTGTTTGAAAATGTGAGACCAAAGCATAGGGGCATATCATGCATTTGGTGGCCAGCTCCCCAGGCCAGCCAAGGGTGATAGACAAACAAAGAAATGAGAAACAAAAGATTGGGGAATGAAGCAGGGGAGTGGGAGAGGGGAGAAACGAAGGAATGGGGCCACAGCCTAGTTGGTAATCAGTAGCCATTTATATCATTCTTACTTCTCTCTACTCCCGTTGATCATCGATTTGCTCGAGCGGACCCAGTAACGTCTCCACTGGAGACTTTGTTGTTACTGTGTCTGGCATATCGAATACTCTCGGTAGCTTGCCGGGCTCTCCGAGAGGGGCGGAGGAATCGAACTCGGGTCGGCCATGTTGGCCGCATGTAAGGCGAACACCCTACCCGCTGTGCTATCGCTCCAGCCCTGGAGCGTTCGCCTTACAAGCGGCCAACATGGCCGACCCGAGTTCGATTCCTCCGCCCCTCTCGGAGAGCCCGGCAAGCTACCGAGAGTATTCGATATGCCAGACACAGTAACAACAAAGTCTCCAGTGGAGACGTTACTGGGCCCGCTCGAGCAAATCGACGATCAACGGGAGGGCCTTTACCTTTACCTTTTTACTTCTCTCTACAGCATAGTTATATAGAAATGGTGAAGGGTGTCAAGTAAATATGATGATTGCCCAGAAATAAATGTTATTTGGAGTCAATTAGCTCTCATGTTACAAAAGCATAGCATGAACTGCCTTCCTGTTTCTATACGAAAAGGACTTGCTAATGCATGCAAAGGATATAAAGGAAGAGAACAGCAATATAGGAGTAACTCAATAAACCTAAGTTCCCTGCAGGAAGAGCAGGGACAAACCAATGTTATTCAACTAATCTCAGTGGTGTCGAGTGAACCTATCATAGTGTTATATTCCAGCTCTTTCTCAGAAATTATGTTCTTAAGTACAAAATACTAAGTTTATATGGCTGGCAAGTTAGTAGTAAAATATAAATGCACTGCACTGTCCTCCTGTTCATCAATTTTCTTGAGTGAGCACCAGTAACATCTCACAACAAATTGTGAGATTTGTTACCGTTTTTGACATATCAAATATGTCACGGGTAGCTTGAGAGGCTCTGCCATGCGGGCAAGGTACTCTCTGTAGCTTGCTGGGGTCTTTGAGAGGGGCAGAGGAATTGAATGTGGGTTGGCCACGTGCAAGGCAAATAGCCTTAACCATTGTGCTATCACTCAGCCCAGCAAAATATGGCACTATAATTAAAATTTGAAGTCACTCAGAAAGATTTACATTTTCCATCTAAGAATTAAGCTACCTTATAACTTATTTGACTTATTTAGGTTTTTTTAAATGATTCTGGACCATATTTAAGTGCTGTTAAGATAAAAGTCAATCTCCTTTATCAGTTTTCTCGGGTTATTAGAGCATTTACAGATTCGAACCTATGTTATATCCATTCTCAAGGTATATTGCTATTTATCATATAGTAAAAATGGAATAGGAATAAAGCAGCAATAGTAGCAGTATTATACTTTTCACCTTTTATTTTGTCTTTGTAGTATTTAGGGAATTTCTGCTTATCTTCTCAAATATATCCATTTTATTCCTTGCCCAACTTTAAAGGTAAAGGTAAAGGCCCTCCCATTAATCGTTGATTTGCTCGAGCGGGCCCAGTAACGTCTCCATTGGCGACTTTGTTGTTACTGTGTTTGGCATATCGAATACTCTCGGTAGCTTGCCGGGCTCTCCGAGAGGGGCGGAGGAATCGAACTCGGGTCGGCCATGTTGGCCGCTTGTAAGGTGAACGCCCTACCCGCTGTGCTATCTCTCCAGCCCGCCCCAACTTTGGAAGTTGAATTTATTTTTTCTTAATTTAACAAATCATTAAGGAAACACATAAAAGTGAATAACTGGCACAAGGTCAAAATCTAGTCACCAGCTGAACTCAGATATTAACTGAGACCTAGTCTAATTTCAATCCCTCAGCATTTTCCATTATGTACCAAAGCCTCTCAAATGTCATACATGTGCCTGCATGTACACACACACACACACACACACACACACACATCACAGAGTGAATGTCAGTGAAAACATATGTTTATTACTCAAAAGAGAAGCATTAAGAGCCCCATTCAGCCCAAGAATAGTCTTTCTGGAAGAGGAAGGAAGTTGCAAACAATGACCATGAGACCCCGGGGCTTTCATTTCTAAGGGAAGCTCTCTGTGGCCCCTCTCAGTAGCAGATCACAGTGTGTGTGTGGGTGGGTGGA